ATTAGTACCTAGCTTGATTTTTTGGATTAGATATTTACCAGCAACACCTACCAATCTGAACATTTATTTGGATTGCTAATACATATTCTGTATTGGGAATAAAGAAATGTGATATGTGCAGACAATTTTACTCTGAACATTTGAACTGCCATAAATTGGAAAATTAGGGGTTTTTTTTTTACAACTCTTGAGAATTTTCTTTAAAAATTTTCAGTAATTTCTCAGCTGCCTTTTATCCATGTTTCCTGCCTTCTTTATGGTAGAGAGATATGTTATACTCAGGTCAATGATATTCTTTAATGCATTACTATATCTGAAGCAAATATAAAAATCTCTACAGGCAAGATGTAGGTACTGAAAACAGTAATTAGCTGACTGTTCGGTTATTTTGTTTAAGAAATATAGGGGGCATATTTAATCAAATCAGGCATTTACATAATTATGATTTCCCTCCATTATAATTTTTGCATTCTGTTAGCAAATTTGGCTTTTGCTAACATGATGCAAAAGTTGTTAATGAGTCTCATTGTATTAGCAACTTTCTATGACATTAACAAAATTAAATTTGCTAATAGACTATGACAGTTACTAACATAAGATTAGTGCAAAGAGAGACCAAAATCTCAGTAGGCCATCAAAAGTAATGATCAACATGTAAAGAATGCCTGTTTTTTTTCTTTGTTAAATATAACGTGAATGTTTGTGCAATGTCATTCCCATTCACAGCTACAAAGGGCTCCCTAGGAAGGTCTCTTTTACACAACATTAACGCAAGCACAACACAATGATTAATTTTGGATAGAAAATTATGAGCCATCAACTTTCCTCATTGGAAAAGAACTCATTCAACAAGATGAACTGACAGAAGCATCACGCAAAATATGCATCCTTAAAGTCAGATATTCACTATGAAAATAAGGTAGTATTTTATTAGATAACCTTTTAAAGTATAATTATTAAGCAACTTCATTAGCCAGATATCAAGATAAGTAAAAAGTTTATAATCAGAAGGAAAAAACTCAAAAAAAAAATCAGAGGCTTTCAGATTTTTTCGGTCACAACGAGATTGATTTCCTAAATTTTCTGCCATTCTAACAAAATGGAAACCTGAGAGATACAGTATTTAAAGAACAACTAAATAATTAGTTCTAGTTAAAAAAAATGAGTTCATATGCCATCTAAATCATTAGAATATTGTTTACTATACGGCTGAATAATAGAAACAGAAGTTAGAAAGAAGGAGATATAAAAAGAGGAAATGGCCAAGTGGAAAGTTGTAAAGAAGAGGATGTTAAGTATTAATGTTACTATATTATTATGTTATTATATTATTATGTTACTATATTACTGATATGGTGGTGATGAATATCACAACAAAGATGTGTAATATAACTATGTAAACATAATTGTACCCAAACCACACACTGTTCGATTAAAATTGAAAGTTATATAAATAAAACAAATAAAACATGGGGGAAAAGAAAATATTGTTTATCATCTAGAAAGAGCAACTGATATAATTTTTAATAGAAACATAATTGAGAAAGAGATATTGAATTGAAATTATCTCAAAATTTACCTTGGACAACCCCCAAAATAATATGATGTCTCCTGATTTCAGTTTAGAAACCAGGAGACCATTAATTCTAGCTCCACCTTAGGCAAAAAGCCAATTGTGTGACCTCAGGCCAGTAGCTCTCTCAACCCTTTGGAAAAGGCAATGATAAACTGCTTCCAAAAATTGGAAGCCAGGAGACAAAACTGACTTTAAAGCACAAATCACATGGACAACAAAATAATTTATAGATACGAGTGCCTCCTAGTGAATCACCTCCAACTGGATCTGGAAAGTCTACATGTAACAAAAAAATAGCACCTTCATTTAACATTGTTTTAATAATAATTCTGTTTCGGTTAAATTATTTACTGCCAATGAACAGAATACTTCATGCTCTAAGGTAATTTTCATTTAATGATCAACATTGGAACAGGCAACTCAGTCATTAAACAAAGCAGTAGCTTAGTGAAAAATCAAGTGACTATGACTGCATATAATTACACTTCAGCTTTTCTTCTTAACAGCATCAGAATGATGTGACCCCAAACATCTGATGAGTTCAAATGGCAGGAAGATTTCTAGAGCTTGACCCACAAAGAAGTTCAACCCTAACCCCAACACCCCCCTCCCCCAACTCTCTGCCTTTTGCAATGCTCAACCTGCTGCTGGGATATTAGCAAGAAGAAAATTAATGTTTGTATTTTTATATTTGTTGGAATGAAAGGGATTACAAAGAGAGTAAGCAGATATACAATAGGGAATATACATTGAAAAAAATGTGCTAGAACTGGCTTTTTGCATAGCACAGTTCTGAGCCCAGAGCTACTTAGGAGACAAAGAAAAGTAGAAGGTGTGAAACTAATCAAAGTCTTGTCAGTTACAGGCAATATCTGCCAGCAGGTTAATTAAGGTCATTGAGCTGAGCTTGTTATGGTGCAGTTAGCACTTCTTAAGGATGCACTGCAGTGTGGAGAATAGCAGTTCAGGAAGAGACAGCTCGCTTAGGCAAGCTCTTTTCTCTATGAAGGAAGACAACAACAACAACAACAACAACAACAACAACAACAAAAAGCATCAGGAACAAGATAATGTGTACTAACTGTAATGGTGAACTGCAACTGTCTAAATGCAGGCATTAGTTGCAAAGTAACTTATTCATCACTTTTGTAACTGAAAGTGGTTACTGTCTGAGGCAGTCACTAAATGAGGAGTATGTGTACAACTTTTTTTACCCAATATATAAGATACATTTGACCAAATGACTCTTCTCTGCTTTGAAGGATAATGAAATCTATAACTGACAAATAAAATATGTCAGTTCAATTTGTAACTATCTGAATGATTACATTCATGGCCATTTGGCTTCGCTTGTATTTGATGAAACAGCTTTTGCTCCTACAAATCTCAACCTTTCTCAACCCGGCACCAATCCAATAGATTTGGACTACAACTTCCACTAATGCCAGGCGGCAGGTGCATAGAAATTCTGGGAATTACAGTTCCAAGTCATCTGAAGGGCAATAGGACAGTTTAAGCTATAGTACATTTCTTAATCTTTCCAAGGAATCAAGGGACGCTGTTTCTTTTCAGATAACAGACCTATTAGTGGTACCATTTGGGAAGTTCTTATGTACATAAGCCTCAACCAATAATTAGTCCCATAAATATTCTCATAAAGCAAAACAGGAAAAAAAAAGCCAACAAATAAAAACCAAACAGAAGAGCAATCAGCAACATCCTTTATTATAACAGAACTGGCTACTCTGCTCTTGACCTATTAAAACTTTGTTTGCTATTATGCTGGCGGGCAAGCTAGTCATGCAGAACAGTGTGGAGGAAATGAGCCAGTGTGTTCCCCTGGTGATATAAATGCTTTATCAAGCTGATCCCTGCCTTGTTATGTAAACTATACCAGGTACTGTTCATTTTAAACACAGAGATAAACAGATCTAATATGCTTCAGGGCATCATGCTTTATGCATGAACTGCTTTTTATTTTTATATTAAAGATTTTCTTGACAGAACCCTTTGCAATGGAGTAAAGCAATATTCTAACATCTTAACTACAACCACAGCAGCACCTGTAAGTTCAAAGCAGTGAGAAAGATAGTCCCAATTCAATTAGACCAATGCAAACCTTTTTTAATTAATTCTTAATAAACAATTAATTTTAGTGAATGCGTCTTGTAATAAGAATGTCTCTCTCAAAAGATAAATGAAAAAAAATCCTCAGAGACGAGTGTTATAAAAGTATAGCTCATGCTATGTTTACAATATTTAGCTAGCTTTCTTTTGCCTACCGTTTATTTTTAATTTCAATTTCTGCTTAGATTGATTCGAGATGTAATATTTTTAACCTTTTCATGCATTTTGTAGTCCAGATTTTATCAATAGAGAGGAAAATTAACAGTAACTCCATACAATACTCCTGTAGAAAAAATGTAGGGGGGGAGGATTCTTTGTGCCACTTATATGAATCTGAGTAAGTCAATTTTGAGATTCAGTTTGGTTTTAATAATTAAGGCACCAGCCTAGAAATGGGAATTCTAGTCCTGCCGTAGACTCAAAACAGCTGGGTCACCTTGGGCAGTCACTCTCTCTCAGCCTCAGTAAGAAAGCAATGACAAACCACCTCTGAAAAACCAAGAAAACTGCAGGGATTAGTCAACGCTGATTTGAAGGTTCACACACAAACAAAGTCCATTAATTGACAAAAGATTCAAGGCAAGTATGTTCCCCCCACAAAATTATTAGTAATTTTGGCAACAAAGGATTTGGGCATGGTCCAAAACAGATTCTAGACAACATGGACATTGGGGATATCAACTTTTTAAACAACATAATTAAATCTCATCTTTGTGATGTTCTTCCTAACAATGGAATTTGTAATTAATACCACTTAAAATCCTATAATGTACGTGTGTGTGTGTGCGCGCACACACAGGCACGTGTTGTGTGTGTATATATATTCATATTAAATATAAACTAAATCAGCTGAAAAAGTAACCCCTGCATTTGTCATACACAGACAGTACAAAATTGTGGCATTCATGTGATGGATGACACCATGATATATGTGTTATGATTCTGGCATCATCACAGTTTGCTGTAGATGTTGTTCAAACAAAATAGGAAAACCTCTTTAGAGTTCTCCTAAAAAACAATAGAAGGTATTTTATGAATCACCCAGTGAACAGAGTTCCAAAGGCTCCCATTGAAGAACCTGATTTGATTGCAAAGCTTAAATGAGATAATATGAGAATTCTGAAAAGCTGTATTTTATATCATACATCTTCAGAATACACATCTTGCTTTCAAATCAAAGCTCTGTTACAACATTGAGAAGTCCAAAACATAAACACAACAATCAAATAAAACATTGGCATAAAAACATGATGGAAGATCCAGATAAAGCTCAGGGCCTCAATAACTTGTCACTAACCCGATTCCTGAAGAGTCATTTGGTGGACTGGACAAGCCACAGCACAAAATTTGGCCACACTAAGTATAACAGCTGTATCTGTATCTGCAAATAAAAAGGAAGTATAAAATATATCAGATCTACCTGTTCTATTAGTAAAAAAGTGTGATGTAAGTGGCATGAAAACTATGATAAAATAAACACTAAACAGAAGAAGAATCATGGTGTCAACCTCCCAAGAGTTCTTTGAAAACTATAATAAGCTGAACACCCAGAAGTTGTGTTCCAACATTTTACAATTATTTTCTGTCTCACTTTTCATTTCTAAGTTTATAGGGAGGCTAGAATGGAGCAAGCCAATATGTGTTATCACCTTTTCTTAGAACAGAAGAGAGAATAGATGATTTTTGTTTACTGTTGTTCATGTGAAACTTGTGGAACACCCTTGCTAAATAACCAAAGAGAATGGAGGCAGATTAACAGAATAACAGAGTTGGAAGAGACCCTGGAAGTCTTCTAGTCAAACCTCCTACTCATTCCAGACAAGCGGCTGTCCAGTCTCTTCTTAAAAGCCTTCAACGATGGAGAACCTACAACTTCTGAAGGCAAGCTGTTCTACTGGTTAATTGTTCTCGCTTTTTCGGAAATTTCTCCTTAGTTTGGGTTGCTTCTCTCCTTGATTAGTTTGCTTTGGAAAATAGGTTGACTCCCTCCTTCTTTGTGGCAAGCCCTTAGATATTGGAACATATCATTCACCCCATTCCTTCTTTTCACTAGACTAGACATACCCAATTACTGCAACCGGTCTTCATATTAGGGGCCTCCAGCTCCCTAATAATATTTGTTGCTCTTTTCTTTACTATTTACAGAATCTCTACATCTTTTTGATAATATGGTGAGCAAAACTGGATGCAGTATTCTAAGTGTGGTCTTTATAAAGTGGTATTGATACAATCCCTCTGCTAATGCAATCTAGTATTGCATTGGCTTTTTTTTGGCAGCTGCCCCACATTGCTGTCTCATGTTTAAGTGATTATCCACTAGGAATCCAAGATCTCTTTCACAGTTATTGCTGTTAAGACAGGTTTCACCTAATCTCCACCTGTGCATTTGCTTTTTCTTATCTAAGTGTAAAACCTTATTTTTCTACACACAAATTTCATTTTTTAGATAGGGCTCAGTGTTCAAGTCTTTCGAGATCCATCTGGATCTTAAGCCTAAGAGGCAAAAAGTTAGACAAGAGAGGAAGATAACTAAGCACAGGTGATTTTTAACTGCTGTTTACAGCACTGTATGGTAAGCCAGCTCAACTAATTACAACTCATTTTACAACTACATGGCTTAGGGCCAGCGTACCTGCGAGACCGCCTACTGCCACATACATCTCAACAGCCGGTAAGATCCCACAGATTGGGCCTCCTTCAGATGCCGTCAGCCAGACAGTGTCAGCTGGCGGGCCCCCGGAGGAGAGCCTTCTCTTTGGCTGCTCCGACTCTTTAGAATCAGCTACCCCCAGAGATCCAGACCTTACCCACTCTCATGGCCTACAGCTGTTAAAATCTGGCTGTTCCAGCAGGCCTGGGGCTGTTGACCTCATTGTTGAGGTCCAGCCCCAATTAGAACGAATGCATGTGTTTTGTGATTTTAAATTGTCTTTTTCTTATTTTCTTTTTCTTCTTTCATCTTTTGTAAGCCACCGGAGTCCTTCAGGATTGGGTGGCATATAAATTTTAATAATAAATAAATAAATAATAAATTTGTAGTATTTATTTAAAAACAACAGTGGTATCTCTGATACCACAGTTTATGCTCTGCCACCAACAGACTGAAATAAAATAGGACCATTCTTAAGTGTCTCCTGTTAATAAAGGCATGCCACATAATATAACATCTGTACTTCTCTGCATATCACTTTTAAAAAGAGAGACTTTACATATGTCCTTCACAATACTTTTGAGTGCTAGGATTCCAATAGCTCCTAAACCTATGCACTACTAGTTTGAACCTAGTAGTAATCTAGTAGTAGTAAAATGTGTAGCTCCAGATACAACAAAACTGATTGGCTATTAGTGGCCAAAAAAAGTTTAAGCTTATATGTAAAAAAGAAGAAGAAGAAGAATCCCCCCCCCGCCACAAGTGGCAGTAGAAATCATATAAACTGTGGGCATGATATCACATCTGTATCTTTTTGTCTGAGAACTTATGTCAGAGGTTGAGCTGTATATAACATTCTAAAAAAGATAGATCCTGATTATAACCCTGAATTATAACTTCTTAATTTGGCAAGTGAAGATCCATTATAGAAGACTCTAGGGCAAGAATGTGTTAAGAAAATTATTCTTTCTGTCTGCTCATTTAAAGTAATCCCTTTGGGTGATTAAATGAAATATTACTTGTTTAATAACCTTCAGAACATTATTTTTAAGCAGAAATATTTTGCATATTTTCTCTTCCTAATTTTAACTCACTCATGTCATGGGAAAGGCACAGACATCACACAAAGAAAGTAGAGTTTAGCACCTGAATACTGTTTGTCCTGTCATCATGGCATCTATAATTTAGTGTGAAGCAGTGAGGTAGACAGAGCATTATCATCAGAAATCACCCTGAACAGGGATATAAACCACACTCGCAACAACACTTGTCAGAAAGGTGACTGCAGTCAAAACTAATATCCAAGAGTTTCAAGATAAATGCTGACAATGCAACCATCCTATAAGACTACTATTGCTCCAAGAAATAGAAATAAAATGGGGAAAAATCCTCAGACCAAAGTATGAAGTTCCCCTGAAAGGAGCAATTTAATTTTTATTGGGGCCTAATAAATTCTCTATGAATTAATACAAGTAAAGCTTTGATCTAACTGGATAAGACTATTTTATGTTTGCTACAGAGGAATAAATAGTTTCCCCCTCCCATTATTCTAAATAATCCAATTACCTGCATTCTATCTTTCTTCTCCTCTGGTATCCTGGACTGTATGTATGAAATTCCCAAACCATATAATTAGCTGCAGATTTTATAGAATCAGATCTTTTGCACAATCTATATGCTATTATTCCTCAGCCAGTATTTCTATTTTCGTATACTTTACAATGGGTTTCCTGGAAATTTAATATCAGTGTACTTCCTGCCACATAAACTATGACCCCACAGGGAAACAAACAAACAAAATCTTGGCTTTTAGCCATTATGATTTACTTGGTTATGTGTAGCTTGTTCAGTTTGGTTATTTAACATACATGGCAAATATTTCAATATATACAAAACAATAAGAAGATATGCCAGTTGTACAAGATACCTGTTGTTCTACATTTTACTTTAGAGGAAACTATCTTTTTTCTTTAAGATGTGAGTAGGGAAGATATTGGTTTTATGTTTGTCCTTCTTAGAAAAGTTTAGTAACTTTTCTTACTAAACTTTTCATCCCAAAACTGAATTCTATGAATAGTATTAATAGTAAATAGTATAATTTACAAGTAAATGCAGATTTTTTCCCCGATCATCAACCAGCATGCTTATTTGTAAGAAGGTAACATGTCCATTAACCTCCTCAGAAGGAAAAAATAAAAGAAATTATTATTTTCCTTAATTTCTCAGGCTGTAGTCTTACTCATACCTGTTTAGGAATACATTCAATTAAATTCACTTAGGTTTACTTCTGAATAAGACATTAACATTAATGACAAAATACAATTTGATACAATAAAATATTACTGCTGTGCAAATGAAATTATAATAGATCGATGTCAAACAATTAGACCAAGTGCCTCAAAGCAGATCCACTGATAGAACTCCAATTTAAAGCAGAGGACTCTTTCTTCATTGTTTATTGAAACGATGGTTTTCACCACAAGTGCTCATTCTTTCCAATACATCACAATGACGGAAATTGATTTAGATTCCAGGGCAGACGCATTCCTAGATGGCAATTTCAATCTCAAAAACAACTAAACAAATAGCGCAGAGAAAAGACATGAACTACACGGAATTACATAATATAATAATAAATAGGTAGAGAAGCTATAAAACATGTTAAGTCCCCTAATATTATATTGCAGGCAGTTAGAAGACAATAGCATTATTTTTGCAGCTGCGGGGACACCAAGACAATAGCCCATGCGAAGTATCATTTGCTTCACAGCAAGATCTAAATTCAAGTGCAAAAAAAAGAAGAAAAACTGCCATACTTAATCTCCAAGGACTGCCAACATCCTGTAATTTTTATGTGAAAGAAATAGAAAGAAAAACCTTGCTTTACATGGAGAGTAATCACGTTAGCTGCGTTTAATTAGTTTAATTCAAGTTTAATTGAATGTATACTTACATTCAAATTAAATTACATAAAAATTAACTTTAAATAAATAATTTTGTCCTTGCTCAGACGACGTTTATCTTGGATTTAGCCACTTTTAGGACCTTGGCATGCCACTCACAGAGCAAGTAGACCTAATCATGAAAAAGGCAATAGATTATATTTAATTACATTAATTTCAAATGTCCTCAGTTTTGGTATATGTGCATCCTGTGTAGATTGCACATGAAATGAGATTGCTTATCTCCCCTCCTCCCGAATTATCTAAACACTGCCAGAGATCAGACATGCACAATCTTTTTCAGACCAACTGCCACAATAGGCTATAATGCTCTACTTTGTACAAAACAAATTTTGGACAAATTCCATGCAAGACCTTGGCAGTTGCAAATTGTGTATCTGTCACAGATACACATATCTATAGTTTCTAAAATTGCTGATGTAAAGTATGACATTCTGGAATTCCTTCCTCGGGTACAAGGTAGATTCCCCCCCCCCTTTCCACTATTCCCGAGAAAGAAATATTAAATAAAGCAAATGAATCTCATTTGATGGAAGGAAGGCTCATCTCATCACAATATTGGTAAATTATCAAGAACTGGCTGCTTTTGCTGAAGAAAGAGATATATGAGAAACAACTGTGTATCATCAATGAAGCATTTTAAAAATCTGGAGAGTTTAATTTTTGTCACCTTCCATGAGTTCATATCTTGATATGCTCAATATTCACACAATTGTCATGAGAAGCAATCACTTTGTTATCAGATATCTTTCTAAGTTAAAGAAGAAT